TGATTTATATTCAGCTTAAATGATAAAAAACTTCCAATATGAGACTAACTATTCTTGTCTATTTCAACGCAATCATCTAGAGTGTAGTGTGGTCCAATGATATTTAGTGAGCCACATCATCAAATTAGCCAAATCATGTAGTTGATGGACCACCGCGATACTAGATGTGTAAAGTAATCTATCGGCTCAGCATGCACGTGACCTTAAATGATGATCTAAAAGCTAAGGAAATGCCATAGTACCTTAAGTTCCCAATCAGCAACGGTTCATGACAGGTTGATCCTACGTCACTTAGCACACCACGTGACCAATCACATTTGATTTAGCAGCTCATGAACTACTATGATAAGAGAAACTTAAGTTCACACATGTATCACCATCAAGGATATAAAGATAATAATTAATTATTATCAATTATTTTTAAAATCTTGATGGTAGTCACAAATACGACAATCTATCTTCTCCCTCCTTTTGTGTGATCAATGCCTCTAGCGATCGACAATTTTGTTCCTTCCTCCCCTACACTCAAGGCTTTTGGCGAGTGATCAGCTCTTCCCTTCTCCCCTTGACAATAATGACAGCATGGTCGACCCCTCTTTCAGTAGATCTTTTTGACAAGCAGTGCAACACTTCTAGATGATACTTCTATGACTTCTAACGTGGTATGACATGTTCAGATGAAACCAAGCTGCCACACTAATATCTCCAGTTGCTCAAGGGGTAAACTAAACTTGGGCAACAATTTATTTTCTACTTGTGGTATTTACTTATCTTCTTTTTTAATTTATATTTTATGATAAGTTATTTTCTGTTTCATACATGTTTCGATTGAAATGAGTATAACTAATTCAAAACTTGATAAATGATCTTTGTTCTTCTTCTAAATCGTCCAAAACTCATCTGAGGTTAAGTTAAAATTATTTTCAATTTATTTTCTATTGATTTTATAGTCAAATCTCAATGTATTCATGTTCTCAATATTTTATGAATAAGAAGTATTTTTTATTTTCAAACCTGAAATCATTGAGATTAAAGGCTGATTAATAAACGTTCAATTGTTAAAATAAATTAGAGATATTCATAGTTGACCTCATGTCATGTGTGTGAATTCTCAAGCATACATTCGTCTGAGAATAATGGTCACCATAAAAACAGGTTGACCATATTTCTCTCTTTCTTTATTATTGTCTTATTTCTCTCTCTGTCTCTCATGGGATCTCTTTCTCTCCATTGATCGATCTCCCTCTCTCTCTCTTGTGAGACCTTTCTCTCTCTCCATCTCACATGAGATTTCCTCCTCTCTCTTCTCTCTTGTGGGACCTTTCTCTCTCTCCGTTTCATGTGAGATTTCCTCCTCTTTCTTTTGCGAGAGATCTCTTCCCTTGTCTTTCATGAGAGCTCTCTCTTCTCTCTCTCTTTTCCTCCTTCCTTTATTCATGTTTCTTCCTTTATTCTTCTCACCTCATCCTTCTATTTTATTATTTTTATTAAATATTTATTGAATATTAAAATCACTTTATATAAAAACTAAATTAGTTTTCACGATAGATCAATCAATCTCCTTGTGTTCGACTTGTAATTACTCTTATACTAATATTTTATTAAGTTTTAGTTATAAATATTATTAAATAATATACATTTAAGTATAACAACAAGTGTACATTAGTGAACCCATCAGATAATAGGACTATGAGAGAAAAATTTCATTTTGATTTTTGTTACCAAAGAATCAAAAGAGAGAGGGCACAAATTAAAATAAAATCACCAACTAATAATAGAACTATATATAAATAGCAAAGCCCTAACTCCTACTAAGGTTTCCCCCCTTTCTCTCTCTTCTCTCTTCCCATTTAAACTCTCACTTAATGGGCCTTCTTTGGGCCTATTGTGACTGGCCTATTATTTCCAAGAGGCTTTTGACTATGAGAAAAGAAGGGAAAAAAAAACAAAACATGTATCTCAGCCATGCCTTGGATATTGCATTAGATTATAGTCTAAGGGTTAAAACAGAAATTTCTGAAAGTTAATATGTAAATTTAAATAAAAATTTATAAAATGCTTCTAAAATCTGTTTTTTTGTTTTTTATTTTATTTCATTAACTTCAACATCGATTAGAATGGCAACTTATGACCATTTAACCCTACTTATCCTAGAAAAATGATATGTTAACAAACACCAACATTAAATTTCTCTTAAGCTAAATGTTTTATAAAATCTTAGCACAGTGATTTTATGAATTTGTAAAATCCAATTAAATATAACTTTTATCAAGTTGATCTCTTCAGTTAATTTTAAATATATGTGAACTTGGGAACCATTTATATATTTCACTTATTAGGCTGCTTTAAGAATAATGCATACTTGTGAGCAAGTTGATCAATTTTGTTTCCTTTAAGTATTGATGTTCCTTTACAATTTATTTCAAGTTTATTCTAGATCTGTTTAGATTCATTGCAACTCTAAACTCATTTGATCTCATTTGCCTCTAAATCATGAAATAAGATTTGATGGTCCTAGCATTCAAAGATGAAAAATTCTATACAAATGGTCAGAAAAACTGTGCATTTCCTTGGGATCATGAGGGTTGTTTATTATGACCTTCCAAGCAATGTAATCATGATATTAAACAAAAATTCTTATTGTACTTTCTAATAGAGATCAATGTGTAGAGTAATCTCTAAACTTTGTCGAAAAAGTACTTAGCAAGGGCTTTACTTCTCAACAACTAGAAGCTTTTATGAAAGAGGTGGGCTCAAGTACAACTTGCCAAAATTCCATGGCTGTACGAAAACCAAGAGAGGGGAGACTTTGTTCAATAACCACAATATAGATCATCTAAATAGATAATTGAACAATTCTTGGTTTCATCAATTTATCCATCCATCGATTTTGTCATAAAAAAACACTTAAACCTCTCAAGAAAATAATTTAAGACTCTTTCTTCGATGGTGTAGAGAGATTTCTTCACATAGTTGCTGATTATTAATCCAAATATGATGTCCTCAACGTAACTTAGTCAGAAGATTGGTATCAAGATTACAGAATAATGCCTATTGCAATCGGAGAGAGAGAGAGAGAGAGAGAGAGGGAGCAATTGGGGGAGACATGTCCTACCTAGGCAGTGGAGCCACTTGCCGGGGGATCAGAGGCTCTATCCGCAGGACTACCGAGATGACGCAATCACATGCGCGCGCACGTGTCATCTCCGACTGCCTGAACTCCCGTGTCCCCTTTCCTGTCTCAGGTCTGATTTTGTCGCTACAATGGTCTGATAAATTCTAATAAAAATATTAAATTACATACATCAAATGCCTTTTAATTTTCATGATGAAATTATTTTTACTAAAATAACAATTGTTCCGAGAATATTCTGATGTTTTTTCCACGCCCAGTTACCAAAATGGATGCGCCCCACTGCAGCATGGCACGATGTTATCCTCGAACTTTTTCCTTATTTTTAGATAGGAAAAATTAAATTTATTTTCTATTTCTGTAACTATTCTTGTGAAATCAGTCAGAGGCCTGGCCATGTTTTTGGGCCACGGTTTCTAAAATATAAAGTCCATTTATGGGCTTCGAAGTGGCACGCATTATCGGAGCCCACCGCTAAGGCTCGGTTTCTGGGTTTTCTCTTGATTTGGGCCGGGCCAATGCATTCAGGTTTAAGTCTCATCTCAGGTATGATAGGATTTGGGCTGGGCTTTTCTCTAGATTTGGGTATCATCTTGTTCCGAATAAGCCCAATGACGGAAAAGGTTAAACTGGTCCATATAAGTTTTCTTAGTTTTTCAAGGAATCTTATTTACTTTAATCTTGTTGAAGATATTTTATCGTATATATTACTCGTCAATTTAAGTGATAATTAAATAATTAACCGATTTATTAATGAACTCGATGGACTTGAAGATCAGCCGAACAAAATGTCCACTTTGAGCAACGGCTTCCTCTCATAAAAATCCCCAAGAAAGGATCGCACATGGCCTAGGCAGGGTATGTTGAGCATATGATCTGAGCTTGGCAGTTGCCACATTAACATTCGATCTAGAGTCTTGATTACTATTTTAAGGAGATGAAAAAAAGAGAAATGTGATTCAGCATATGTAAGGGGGATGGGTAAACCTAAATTATCACCATATGTTACCAAATTAATGTTTAGTGAGAAAACTTTTATTTTTTTCCAACAGAATTTTAATATGAAATAATTTCCCAGATAAGTATGAACCTTTTGGATAGAACCTCATTTGCATTCCCGTCGATCTCAGAGGAAGACTTTGCTCACCTCTGAACTATTGATGACGAGTATGTGAGGGACCCAACAGTTCAAAACCTTGATCACCAACGTGACCAACTTTGTTGACCTAAAAAATAGCATAAGTAGAAGAGAATTCAAGGGGAGAACTCTATTCACATTCAGAAGATAATTCATATTCATGTGTTGAAAACATCCTGAAAATTTAATTCTGTTACAATCGAAATAAATTTTAGTATTTTTTTAACTAAGTCAATTCATTTAATAGCTGAGTTGACTGATAACGCAAACTCATTTAAACACTGATAAAATGTCAAACCTTATCAAATCCACTGAAAACGAGTTCTCTGACGTCAGAAATACTCATTACACTGTTATGAGTTTATCTCAGCTCACAGAAAGTTTAATAATAGATCTGGAATTCATGTTTTAAATCTGTGGATCATTTATGACATATATTTAATGTTTTAGTATTGATCTATTCGTAGATATCAATGTTTCTGCAATCTTCAGAACGTTCAGATCATTATAAAATTAGTGTGTCATTTTCATCCCGGAATAGTGTTCAGTATTCCTTTAAAACTCAGATTAATAAGAGCTACGTTTCCTCTCCCCATTAGTTGGAAGATTCCAGTTTCCGAACTACCACCCTTTATCCCAGGCTTCCAATTACTGTTGATTTGATAGTCTGATTGGGACTGCTCTCCCCTCGACAGTCTGTCTCTATAAAGCGTCGCAAGTGTTTCTGCAATGTCTCAAGCACCTTACTCCTGTCCTCTTTTCCTCAAACTCGAACCAATTCCCCCACACATCTTGACTTCTTCCCCTTCTGGTGCCATGGCCACGAAGACTCAAGCTATGGCAGCATTCCTCCTTCTGAATCTAATGTTCTGCCCATTTGCCTCTGGGCAACTGCCCCTTACGTGCCTCCTGCTGCTCCCGAAACTAAGCAGCTGCGGCACTCTGTCCGTCCTCATCAGACTAGGCATTACCGGTATCCTTCGTACTATAACAACTACAGGATGTTGCTCTCTCTTCACGACTACCACGAGTGCGCAGGCGATCCAGTGCCTCTGCCTCGAGACAAAGCTTGGTCTTCTCAGCGTTAGTGATGTCAGTGCGATACTGACTGCCTGCAACCAGCCGGTTCCCAACCCGCTTTGTCCATAATTTCCAGCCGGAGAATCCTCCCCTGCATCCTTGACCACCCTGTGGATTATCCCTATCGTGGTTTCCGTGTGGTCCCGTGTTTCCCAACGGTGTGAAGTAATGTAGTGTCAGCTGTCGGGTGTGTAAGCGAGGGAGAGGCCCTGTTCACCTCTTTCCGAACCGTAGGCAACAGCGAAAGAAAAGCATAACTGTACTCGTGATAAACATGTTTCGGTGCAATGTGTCCGAAACTGTGTTCCCGTAAGAACGGGGGTCGTCTGTCGTAATTCAGTCTGGCTAACCCTCCTTTGTTAGCTTCAATAAAGGTGCAGGTTGATGTTTTGGCTCTAAGGTGCAGGTTGGTGCAATGGTATTTATTTATGTGGGGTTCAAGTATGGATACCGCTGATGTTTTGTGGTAGATTCTTTGAGCCATGCAGGCTATCCGTAATAATGATTTCCCATCCCTTTAGCCAATTAGGTTCTGAATGCGGAATTATTCAACTCAGCCTTCTTTGTTATTGGGGTATGTGAATTTTTCATCATCCGGTTCAAGCGAGAATCAAATCGAAGGAATGACCAGAAATAGATCCATATCAAAGCTGTATTTCCGCTGTATCCACATGTACATAATGACTTCCCGTAATTTGATTCCCTTCGTCTTCTACTGTCCTGAGGTGAGTATTGATATAGTTATGACGTGTCATGTCTTTTTCAGAACTTGATTGAAATTTGTCATGGGTGAAACGCTTGATTCTATGTTGGGGGATCTGGTATCGATGAGGCAATGTGTGGATCAATTTTGGGTAGAAGGTTTGATTGTTTCTTGATAGAGATCCATTTATTAGTATAAAAAATAGTATAATCCCATATTGATGGCAGTGACTTTGTTAGTGTAATCAATCCTTTTCAGGTTGGTGGAATTTAATCCGATAAGATCAAACCCCAAAATGTTAAATAACTTAATGGATAAGAACGGCATAGAGGAGTGAAGAGGTCAGACTTGTGATTCTTTCCATTTTTCTCATTATAAATGCTCCAAGATTAACTAGCTTTCAAGTCATTAATTTCTAAATATTAATCATTAGCAACATAATTACACTAAATTTATAGTGGTTCAGTCTTCTTGACCATTAAACACTCTCCAAGGATTCCCTCAAGTTCCAATAAACCTGGATGTTTACACGCTAACTTTTAGACTCAGAAACCAACTAGAGTTCACAACTCCAGTGGCTCAAGACGTCCCAAATCCCTTTCTAGATTCTCCAACTCTAGGTGATAAAAAATACAGAAGCTCCTCAGATTTAGCTTGTAGATCCCACAGGTCTAAGAGGCTAAGCAATAGAAGCTCCCCGCTTTACCCTCCTTAAATTTCAGGTTTTAAAGGAAATCTTATCTCTCACAATTTAATATAATCAAGATGAAAGAAATTACAGAATCATTATCGATCAGACAGAAGCATTATTGAATTACTTTGTGCTCATTTCATCTAAATAGTATGTTGTAAATTGATGTCAACTTCACTGCGATGTAGAGAAATAAAAAAGATTCTTCTCTTCCTGTTCTTCTTTTTTCTTTTTCACATTCTGATGTCCATAGTTTTGTCGAGTTTTCAATCACTAGATGAAGATGATAAGAATTTGATCCATCCTTGATATTCTATTTGCTGGTCAATTTGAAGTAGTCTCTGTCCAATTTATTTTGGTGACGTGGATAAATTTCAAGCCATTCTCCTTTGTTTTGCTTTGTCGAAATCCCCCTAATATAATTGAGGATGAGAACAAAAAGAATGATCAAAGAAGAAATAATAGTTTTCTTGCCTTTGCGAGACCAAATTTGGGGATCCAATGTTTGTTGAAGATCTCTCAATCTCTTTCTCATGTAAGTTTTTCTTGCAAGAGTTATGTTCTCAACTTTTCCTTGTCCCATGCGTATCACCTTCACACTCACACCGATGGGAGAGAATGAAAATATTCATTAAATTTGTACGTGAAATCATTATTTACTTCTGAAGCATATTTTGATACAATAATTCGAAATAATAATTACAAGTTAGACCGAATCATCATTAAGTTCCACGGAGTGTTGATATAAAACATCAATAGTAATATTATGCATCCATGTTTCATTTGCGACCACTTGGATCATAATGGGTAATTATTCATGAATTGCCATTAAGGTTATAATATCTTGTTTGAACCAAACCTATTTTCATTGGATATATATATATATATGTTGCTCCTCAAATAATATTTCAGCGTTTTAAACCGAAAATATATATTTGAAAGCGTTAAATGATGCCTCATAGTGGATGTTCCCATCAGATTTTTTTAAGTTTAGAAATAGAATGTTGAAGAGGCAGAACACGAAGAAAGACTAAATCAAAATTACATTTAGAAATAAAGTCATTTCTTGTCCACTTTGAGAAACACCTCAGATCTATATTCTTTTGAGATCTTTTGCCAGCATTGTCACAGCGCTCAACAAAGAATTTTCATTGAAATTTAGAGCTCATGTGATAATCACAGAGACAAGAAACTGGATCAGCAAGTAAATGAATAAGGTATCTCATTCCAGCCACAAATCTGTGAAAAGTCTTGATTATTCAAAAAGCTTCAACTCGACAAGTGGATTGTGGAATTAAGAGAAAATCAATTTTCTTGATCATTGAATTATAAAAACGTTTATAGTTACCTCATCTTTTTAAGAGTAAATCAATTGGAGATTCAACAAATCCTTTTTCCGAGTTTTCAAACACAATGAAATTTTTTGAAACCTTTTGTGAGGAAACTTGTGATGAGCACAATGGGTCACTTAAGATGGTTGATCTTATTGGAGCATTATATGTGTGATGTTTTGATGATGGAAAATGAAAAACAAGGTCAATTAAGAGGATCAAATTATACCATTCTTTGTACATGATATAATAATAGATACGATAATACCTATCTACAAGTAGATGTAAAGAAGTTGATAGTTTAGTTGAAATTTACTGAATATATGTTATAACAAGTAATTTCAATTTCAAAGATTCACCGATTTCATTGTTGAAAGCATAGGGCTAGGAGAGACATCAAGAGAGAGGATGAATCAGGGCTTTTATAATATCTGCTGATTTTTTTATTTAACTGATACCTATCTATAGGTGTCACTAGATGTGTTATCACACATGTGCTCTTAATACTCTCACTAAGAGCACAAAAAATTTATACTAGCTCATCCCTCACCTAACTATGTCTAGACCATGAGAGAACTATACTCCTTTATTCACCAATATCCTTAAGAATTACACACTGATTTTATGCCATCGGCCACCCAAATACCTCAAGTTCATCTCCTCAAAGACTCGTCCTTCTTGAGTCAAAACCAACTAATAATGCCTTGTGCTTTCACACAAAATACTCTCTCGTCATCACCCAATTACCTTAGCACCTGATGGACAGCTAGGGCAAAGAAGATAGAGTTGATCATTTTGCCAAAATCAACTAGAAAAGATAATACGATTTTTGAGAGGATGACTTAAATATTCATGTGTTCAACCTATTTTCAATTCTTAAGCCTTAGCTGATAAATAGGCTTCATCCTCTAAGAATTTCCCAATTTTACAAGATCTCCAACTTTCAAAGGCTTTGTTCAAGTACTTACTATTTTTTATAATGTGTGGTAATAACCTTGAACCTTTTAAACTACGAATCTCCTTATTCCCTCCTCCTTTTTCATTAAAATCTAAAATAAAATTTTCTAAACTAATCAAGAATAGTTGGATTTCTAGGTCAGATCCAAATCACATTTAGTTTAAATTTCTGTCCACGTAAGCATATGATGTCTTGCTATTGAGATGGCATATTCAAAGCTTAGGTATCTCTTTCATTTATAAATATTTTGATGATTTGATTCACGAGAGATTTTGGAGAACTTTTCCATCATCATGTCGAAATACTAGGTACTAAATTGATGAGGAATAGTTTTATTTATAGGTCAGATCAAAATCACATTTAATTTGATCAGTAGAACAGATAATTCTCATGAATTAGTTATACCCAGTTTAAGCATATACTAATTCTTTTATTGAAGGGTGATTTTTCAGCTGATGATTTTGTTCATCAAATATTCTTAACACGAATAATCACTTAATCTCAAGGATTGATAACTTCAATTCAATTGCTAGGGATAAGATCATTAAAGGAATAAACATAATTGACGTAATAATTATATGAGCATATTAAGTATTTGAGGCATATAAGTAACTATTAACATTTAATAAATTTATTTGAATCAATCTTTTACTTGTAATTATCAAAACCAAAGCATCAACACTATGCTATAAAATGATTACATTTCAATTTCTATGGAAATCATAATATTTACAAAGTATGCCATAATGAGAAAATAATGATAATCAAGTTCAATGAGGCATTATAAGGTATAGAAGCTTTCTTACTACTTTATGTGCTTATGCTATTAGATCATTTCTTTCAACTGATTTTGATACTGATCTAATCAAATTAAATTCAGACTATTTATTTTATTAAGCCTATTTTTAAAGTAAATAATATAAGTCTGATCAATTGCTCATTCAATGAAATTCATCTGTCGGTTTTGTATTTGTATTTTCTGATCCTCTTATCAAGCCAATTTGAAATGGTGCAAAATGGATAGGAATATCATGACTTAACCATGTTGAGTGTTGGTCTCATGCAGGAATATTTGAATGGACTTCAAGGACATATCATTGTAGATGTCTATGGGTCAAATTTGTCTTTATTACAAGAAAAAAAAACATGGAATATATGAGAGATCTAGAAAGATTTTCTGTATTTCATTCACCTATAAATATTGAGGATTTTGAATAGATAATGAGTAGAGAACATTCATGTTAATGAATCATTTTTAGATGATAAGTAGGGCCAAATGTTAAGAAATATTAGTTTTATTGATGTCAAATATAACTAAATTGAAGGAAAATGTCGAATCATAATTTTTAACACCTCATGAGGTTTCAAGTAAATATGCATATTCAT